GAGTGCATCTGCCGGAGAGGCAAGGAACCAACAGTCTGTATTCAAGAGAATGAGATCTGTAAAACTGATGCACACGCAACACTCAGGTTCTGGAGCAGGACTGCAGTTCAGTAGTGGACGAGCAACCAGAACTTTCCGCCAGAATGTACAGCTGGTAAACGCGAAGAAGAAGAAGAAGAATTCACCACTTCATATTAATTTAAAGACTATGAATAAGCTTTTGACAGTATTGATAGGGTATCTCTTTGGAAATTAATGGGGAACTATGGAGTCCCACAGAAAAAAAAAAATTGTTTAGTAAAGGCAACATACAAAGGCTTGAAATGTCGAGTTGATGACGAGAAAAAGCTAAACGATACATCTGAAATTTACAAATTTACTGGCGATGCACTGGGTTATGAAGACAGCAACTGTTAACACCAGGAACGAAATTCAGTGGACCCCTACACAATAGCTTGATGATCTGGACTTCGCTGATGATTTTTCTTTTGTGTTCCATTTACGGAATCAGATGCAAGATAATGTAATGGAGATAAATATGGGGGAATTGATAAAGATAAAGGCAGGAGAAGCTTTCATAGCACTAGGGAATTTGTGGAGGTCAAAAGAAATTATGAAAATTACAAAACTTTAAATGCTAAATTCTAATGTCGAATCAGTTCTGTTGTATGGAGCGGAAACAACTACGAAGTACAAGGAAATTACTAATAAACTACAAACATTCATTAAATGGTGCCTGAGCAGAAAATGGAGGAAATTAAACGGTATGATACATCACTAATAAAAAGCTTTAGGAGAGAACTAAGCAAGCTCCAGTGGACCAAGAAGTGAAGAAAAGACCCTGGCATTGAAAAGGACACACGTTGAGAAAACTGGAGAACTAGAATGTTTTTTCCCCGGAACCCACAGGGGCATAGGAATAAGGGAGAAAAAGAGGAGCTAGAGATGGAAGTTAAACAGATGAGGAGAACGTGGGGAGAGTTGCATGCGAAGAATAGAAAGACGACTTGGCGTAACTTGATTGAGGGCCTTTGTTCCACTGGGGGATAGAAAGGCAGAAACAGATTCTTTGAAGGTTTATGACACACTGTGCAGATGGAGGATGTCAGAGTTCCTAAGAACATTCCCTGGGTGAATAAAATATGGATAGAAGATGCCAGAAAACAAACAAAAAAACATATAGAAGGGAGCTAGCGAGTGCGGTAGAAGAAGGAAGAAAGAAAGAAAGAAAGAAAGAAAGAAAGAAAGAAAGAAAGAAAGAAAGAAAGAAAGAAAGAAGAAAGAAAGAAAGAAAGAAAGAAAGAAAGAAAAGAAAGAAGAAGAAAGAAAGAAAGAAAGAAGAAAGAAAGAAAGAAAGAAAGAAAGAAAGAAAGAAAAAAGAAAGAAAGAAAAAGAAAGAAAGAAAAGAAAGAAGAAAGAAAAGAAAGAAAGAAAGAAAGAAAGAAAGAAAGAAAAGAAAGAAAGAAAGAAAGAAAGAAAGAAAAAGAAAGAAAGAAAGAAAAGAAAGAAAGAAAGAAAGAAAGAAAGAAAGAAAGAAAGAAAGAAAGAAAGAAAGAAAGAAAGAAAGAAAGAAAGAAAGAAAGAAAGAAAGAAAGAAAGAAAGAAAGAAAGAAAGAAAGAAAGAAAGAAAGAAAGAAAGAAAGAAATAAAAATCAGGAGTTAGCCCCTGCTGCAATTTAAAGACGTGTGCAAGCTGAACATGCTTATTGCATATTTTGAGGTGGGTTCACTGGAACAAGATCGCATTGCATGGGAGTAGAAAATTAAGAGGGGATTGAAGACAAAGGAGAAAAGGACTGCAGACAGTTAAGGAGCTGAACATCTGAGAAAAAACATGTCAAATATATGTGATGGCAACACTGGTCCTGAAATCCTATGCACTTATCGCCGAAGCTTTTTTTTTCAAAGCCAGTTGGCCTTATTAGTCACAACTACTATCACCATTTGCTGTGATTCCCAGTCTTCCTTATGATATAGAACAATGGAACGCCATCCCCTGGAAGGATGTATAGAAGCCAACATTATAATTACAAACAGGGTAGACATGAAATGTCAAAAGTGGTAACCTGGATTCTGAACAGACTGATAACCCTATAAACAGCACTACATGATGGTGGCGATTTCTTTGTAATAAAATGAATGATGTCTGTTTCTTTCGAGGATTTGTCGGCCAATATTTGAACCTAAAAAATTGGCACTTTCAAGAATGTCAACATCATTTATTGCATGGCGATATTTTTCTTTGTGTGGACTCAGCGAAATCTGGATGCACGGCATTAAAGCAACCAAAATCTGTGAAACCTTGATCGAAGTCTTGCTTATACTGGGCAAAAAGACTAGGTGATGTGAAAGCCGAGCGGGGTCTGGCTACATTGGAGCAATGAGGATGATGGCGGCGGCAAACTGAGCAGCGCCACATATTTCTTTCATATCACGGCCTAGTCCTTTCTGATTTTGAGTATACGATGGCGATCCTAGGAATGAAGCCAGTCTTACAGGTCATCAAAGAACAACAAATGAAGTGGTTCGGACACCTAACAAGAATGCCTTGGTACTATCCGCCACAGCGAGCCACACTAAAACGTTACAACGGGTATAGAGCGAGTGGATGACCTCGGAAAATATGGAGTGATGGCATTAAGAACAGCCTTACAGAAATGAACATCAGTGTTAATAGTGCTTTTGACAAAGCTCATCAACGTACATTACATCCCCCCCCCCCCGACTTCGATGAGGAACAAGGTGGAAGAGAAAAAGAAGAAGAAGATGGCGATCCTCATTTTTACCTATAAGCAGAAAGAAAGGATGCAGCATTGTGTCGAAAACTACTGCAGTAACAAATGCCAGCATGCGTGAAAGCAGCCAACGGCAGTGGCAGCAGTTCTTGTTTTGCCGGTGTATATGTGTGTAAATATAGCTAAGTACAGGTACCAACACCATCTCCCTCAACTGCCCCGGTTTTGCAGGTGCGTGTGAAAATGGCTTATGCCGGAGCTATGCCTGATCATGATTTCCCAATACTGTCGTGCCATATTTCCTTATATTCCTATAAAAGGAGAATGCTGAGAATCCATCGACGCGGCTGCTTCGAGATACCAGCTAAGTGATTTTGTGTATTTGTGTAGTATTGTTTGATTTGTATGTGCCGATGAAGGCTCCATAGCCGCAACTTTCACGTTTTGTTTGTATTTGTTATATTATAAAGCTTGCTAATATACTGTTCGTTCGGGTTTATATCTTTTCTATTTAAAAAAGGGTGCGACTGTCTAAGATAGCAAGCAGTTTTAACGTGCTAACAAAGCAAGTTGCTCATAATGCGAGGATTTTGAAGTTCTAGATCCGCGGACTGTTTCATGATGATCCTTAAGGAAAGCATCCCTTAATGTATGTGTGTGCGTGTGTGTGGGGGAGGAGGGGGGGGGGCAGGAACAGGAGCCTCAATATACACATGTGAGATTAAGCAGTCATGTGCTTAACGTGACGATTCATTGGGTTGCCTAATATCATAGGGTCCTGTAACGGCTATTAACTTATACAAACCTCATTCAATGGCATGGAATACCTATATTCTGTCCCGGCCTTCCTCTGAGAGTTGACCAGTCTACACACAGCTGCCCTGGACGAGACCCCTGGCGGAAACACATGTGAGTTCAAGACGAAGACACCACACAAATGAGGCTGTAAATGTAGACAAGGCCCTATTGTATGAAACAAACGGTTTACAGTGGTTACTACAGTTATCCTAGAAGTAGGACCAACGTCTTCATTCGAGGCTGGGATGCATCTGCATGAAAAGCAAGGAACCAATAGTCCGCTGGGACAACACAATAAGGAACACGTCACCTAATCAGATACAAGAAGGAAAGATCTGGCCGGCCGGACAGACACGGAAGACAAAATACTAGCAACAAACACTACGTAATGAAATAGCCACACAATTTGCTGCCATAATTAGAACCGATACACCCCTGTGTGGGTTCCGGGGCCCCATTATGGGGAAAGCGAGAATAGACCCACTGCCTCCCCAAAAGCATGTTGTAAGAGTCAATTAATTGGGGAGCTTCCTTTGAAGTCGGAGTGCATCTGCCGGAGAGGCAAGGAACCAACAGTCTGTATTCAAGAGAATGAGATCGGTAAAACTGATGCACACGCAACACTCAGGTTCTGGAGCAGGACTGCAGTTCACTAGTGGACGAGCAACCAGAACTTTCCGCCAGAGTGTGCAGCTGGTGAAGGCGAAGAAGAAGAAGAACCGATACTGACTAGGACGAGACCAGTTCCCTAGTCAGAGGTTGAACACTGCTAATTCAAACTGAATGTGCGAAAACATTAACGTGAACGAAGTCTGCTAACAAATAGGAATGATTTATAAAACAGATGTGCACGCACAACTGAAGTTCTAAAAAAGACCAAAGTTCGCGAGTGAATGAACAATCATGAGTTTACAGACTGTGGATTTAAAGACGAAACTACAGTTAAATATGGTTAACACGAGCTCTCTTAAGAAGAACATACGGTTAATATAAACTGAACGTTGGTACTGCAGGAATGTATTATTATTCATTATCCCCAGTTAGCACGCATCCTTTTAACACGAATTTGGTGTTAGGCCTCCTGGAATTCCTATTATTCGTGGTAAATGGGGGCGGGGGGAGAGGGGGAGATTGGCTGTATATAATTAAGAGTTCAATATTTTGTTTAGTCCTTTAAAAGCTGTGGTTGCCTTGCTAATGAGTGCCCTAATTTTATTCTTTGTGCTCCCTTGGCAATCTGCTGGTTCAACTATAACTCGTTTTGTTTCCAGTGTGAAGTTTTCTATGTTTTTAGTGGTGTCTTTAATATATTCTATACATTTAATAAGTGTCTAGCCCTATATGCCCAAACGCACGAATGGGTGGAAAGTGGCCTTTACTTTAATTTTTTCGTAACTTCACCTGTAGAGAAAGGTTCTTCAATTTCCGGCGGAAAACGGATCCCTTTTGATTATAGCGTGAGCCAACATGGGTCGTATGCACAATCCCGGGTAAATATTTACAGTTAATCTATTTTATCATCTGATTATAACAAAAGTTTATTATATTTTAAAGATCACCGCACACGACGATAAGTGCTCCGATCTCCTCCTATGTTTCTAAGGGTTTTTAATCTAACAATTCTATGTTCTGATTGAAGTAAAGTAAAGTAACTACGACGACGGGTGGCCCCCACATGGTTTTCTTGTTGGTGCAGCCATGTTAGATATGTGTAGCCTATTCAGTGAAGATTCATTTTTGACGAAATTAAAAACCTCGCAGTGTTTGCTGCCTTTCATGGCATCATCTCATATCCATAGATAACCCATTCTGATTCTTAATGAGTCACACTACTATTCTAGGCGTCTCGTCTGCTCTCTCATTGTCTTTCACATCAGATACATTCCCTAGAATTAATAGAATAAGAAAAATTAGGTGATTATCAGTAGTTTTATCTGAACGTAAAACATTTGGGATAACAAGCAACTGGGCTACTTCTTTTTTCTGATGCTATAGAAATCTTTAACATCAGCAAAATAATTGAATTAAATGTTCTTTTTTTTTCCCTTTCAGAAAAGGTATTTCACAGAGTGCTCTTCCTTACAGGAGAACAGTACCAGTTGTAAGCATATACTGTTTTTTTTTTGTTGTTTTCTGTTGTACTGTTGGTAATGTATTAATTTGAATTCTTTGTTCACCAGCCTAAACTCTGACAGAAAGTCCTAGCTGTTGGTCAGTTTGGCTTTGTGCCATGGCCTGAGTTTTGCATGTACATCCATTTTAATGGCATACTTTTGTCCAGTTGTTTGTTCCTTGCCGCTTGAGTAGATGTACTTTGATTCCTACACATACACATTCTTTTTGGGGAGGCATATTTGCTCCAGGTGATGCCGGTAGGTTGGGAAATGAGCTGGCAGATAGACTGGCTGGCTCTGCACCACTTGGTGGTGAATTGATATATGACACGTTAGATATTGTAAGGGCCCTTACAGTGCAGAGGCTCAGAAAATTACGATCCGAAAAGAGTAGCGCTGCAAGGAGATTAGGGATCTGGTCGATGTTCATTACTGAGGGAAAAGATGAGACGGATATACAATCAGACAGTTACTGGTACCATCGTAATTAGAACTCTTCACTTGCTGCTGAAGATGGGGACTGAGCACTTATGGGAGTGTACCTAGTGTTGTGATGTTGATTCCTGATTCATTGGTGAGACAGTTAGTCTGTTTTTGTTTTCCCCATAGTGTGGCCCCAGAACTCACACCAGTTTATTTGAACTACTAACTTATAACTACATAATGTAATAAAAATGTCTTGAAATAAATGAGCTCTTTTAGCACCAAGCCATTATTTTAATTCCTTTCCATCTCGTTGAGTTGAGCTTAAAAGTAATTAATGGTTAGGTCATCTCTTGAATAACAAACATTTGTTTCTTTGTTTGGTACTGAAAGAGTTAACTCACAAAGAGTAGAGCTTTGTTGGTTACAGTGCCCTTTTAATTTTATAGGGGGAAAACAAGAACAGACCCACAAGCTTGCCGTCAGAGTGGACTAATTGGGGCTTTCTTCGGTATTGGAGTGCAACCGGCTGAGAGAAAAGCAACCAGCAGTTTGCATAAACATATCCAGATCTCTAAAATGGATGTGCATACAGCACTCAGGTTCTGTAACAAGACTAAAAGTCTAGAGTTAAACAAACAACTAACTAAAACTTTTTGCCAGAGTTTACAGCTTTTTGCCAGAGTTTACAGCCAGTGAACACAAAGAAACAGAAAAAGAAGAAAACTGATTACTTGCATCAGAAGAAAAGATTAGATAATAAATGTTTGTATTCATTTATTGGTAGGTAGGGTCTCCAGAAGTTTCTGACAGTTAAATGCCAGGAATTGATTCTAAATATTGTGATCCCTGTTTGGATTATGTGATCCTATGTTTAGGAGGGGGGGGGGGGGAGTGGTGAAGAAGGAAGGGGATATGTGCATGTAGTAAAACAAAAGTTACTAATTAAGGTTTTGTGGAAATTGGATGTGCATATGTTGCAGCCTGACTATAAATGTATATAAAGTAAAGCACAGTCAATAGCCCATTTAAATACAAAGGCACAAACCAAGGTCATGAGCTTATCAAACGTTACTGTCCTGTTTTCAGTAATACAATTTTCACTTTTTTTTTATTTAGTGGCTGAAGGCTACATCTGCCGATGTTGAAGAACAGATATACAAACTGGCCAAGAAAGGCCTGACACCATCACAGATTGGTATGATGGAATTTTTGTGTGTTTTAATTTAAACTGCATTGGTATCTTTGTTGAGGTTTCAACTCTTTCAGGACCACATTTTTTTCTGGCGTCTAGACAGCATTAATTTTAAGCAACATGGCAAAGCTAAAACCTTCCTAAAGAAAAAGTATTGGCTATATAGAGACATGTGAGCAGAATAAATCTAAACTATTTGACAGTATTACAAAAATATATTTTGAAAATAACACAACATTCAAGGATGTCAGACACATAAGAAGTATTTATTTAGTTATTTTAAATACTTTAGATGTTAGGACCATATTTATATGACATGTTAGATTTCACAACTGAAATCGGGAAAACAGATTATTGCCCTTATCTGGCTGAGATTCATCAATGACAGAGCAGTATGAACAGTTCTAGATCTTTTTCCTTATTATTTGGTCTGGGAAAAATCACATAAAAATTGTATCACATGTAATTAATCAGAAAGTGAGGCAAACAGCATGCCGACTTCTAAAAACAAAAGCACTTTGTGTCACTAATTCTAGTTTTTCAAAACATGCTCAGTAAATGAAACAATATTAGTGTCTCTATAGTGTCTGAAAATCCAGACCAGGTGGATTCCAAAAGCCACTTAAGTGGTCGGTAGTCCGTTTAGAGTTTTGAAATAAAAAGTACTATGACTGCAAAATAACTGGTTTTCTTCCTTTCTCCATTCCAGCCCTGACAGTCCACATACAATTCTTTTAATGACTTGGTGTCCAGTTTGTTTTATAGATTGTCAGCTCCAGAGATCTTTAAAAATTAGAACAAATTTGAGGTCTTGTTAACATTTGAATTATGCCTCACACACACATATATGCACACATCACACACACATATATGCACACATCACACACAGAGTATATATTTGTATTTAATAACCAGTGATTTAATTGTAGTGTTTTATATGATTGTCATTATCATATAGATGAGACATATTTCCTTTCTCGATGATGTTGTATATTTGCTACTCTTGATAGACACTGATGAGAAATTACCACCAGTATTTGGTCTGAGAGAAAGGATAATAGTCTTTTACATTTTTCTTTGTAATCAGGTTTTTTTTTTAAATTTTGCTCATGATTTGGTAAATCTATACTGGTATCAGGCTGTTTTATTCTGGCACTGTTCTCTCTCTTGTCTATACATTGGGGATTTGATTTTAACCAGTTTTCTTCTGTTCTGCAGTTAATTAGTAGTTTATTCATACATGGAAAACACTTTTGAAACGAGAATAGTTATCATTCAAGATAAGACAGAATAAATTGTAATAACAAAAATAATTCTCTAGCAATATATTTATATTCACATAAGTGCGAGCATGCACCTGTTATTTGACGTGATTGTTCAATTTCTTCACAATTTATTGCCCTTGGGGTTTATGTCTGCAAATATCACACCTCCTTTCATCTCAGTTATTGTCCTTCACTGTCGAGTTGGTGACTCCAAGTGTCTGTAGATCTGCCTGAATATGATCTTTCCACCACCTTCTTGGCCTTGTTTGCCCAGCTAGTGGCTCCAGATGTCTGAAGATTATATCTCTATATCTTCGTGATCTACACTGTGGTTTGATTCAAGTAATTATTGTTGAACAGATTAGGAATTACTTCTCTCTCTCTTCTCTGCACTAGTCCTAAGATTTATTTTAAGATCCTTTCTTTTAAGCTTGTTAATATTAGCTGTGTTTTTAAAACTATATTTGTTGTAATTATGATTTTATTGTATGATTGTCATTATCATTTACATTAGACATAATTTCCTTCTCAGTGATGTTGTATATTTGCTACTCTTGATGTAGAGTGATGAGAAACTACCACCAATATTTGGTCTGAGAGAAGGATAGTTCTAAACTAATTTTTTTTTTTTTTTTTTGGTAATCATGTCTTAGTGTATATTTTACTTATTTTGGGGGTAAATTGTAACTTGCTATTCAATACTGCCCTTGAAACTATCATTGCTAAAGTCATTAATGTCTTAACTTTAATCTAGGCACTTGTTCTTCTTAGCGTTCAATAGCTGGAAATTCTGTTAGAACATTCTAGTTGTTCAACTTCTAGACTTGTTTTGTTTCAGATCTTGAGTTCTGCATACATGTCTGTTTTACAGATCTGGTTTTTTTTTACATGCAGACTCTTGGTTTCTTGCTTCCTAGACTGATGCTCTCCGACTTCGAAGGAAAATGCCCTAGTTAGTTGCTTTTATAACATGCTTATGGCAGGCAGTTGGAGAAAGTGGGAAAATATGTGCATGCTGAACCTATGATGTGGTTGGCAAGCATTGTAACTACTACACCAGGAGAGCTACTGTACTTGTTTATATTGTTTCTGAATTGTTTACAAGGTTTCTGAATTGTGTTGCAGGTGTGATCTTGCGTGATTCTCATGGCGTCGCCCAAGTCCGCTTTGTCTCAGGAAATAAAATTCTGCGTATCCTGAAGAAGAAAGGACTGGCTGCTGACCTACCAGAAGATCTGTACAGTTTGATCAAGAAAGCTGTCAGTATTCGCAAGCATCTGGAGAGAAGCCGCAAGGTGACCGCCTTTGCTTTGTTATAATGTATTATTTTTTAAAAACTCATTACTGCCATTACCACAGCGGGTCTCAACCTGCGGAACATGACCCTTTTTTGGGTTGAACAACCCTTTCACAGGGGTCACCTAAGACCATCTGAAAACACATATTCATTGAAGTAATGAAGGAAAATAGTTACCACAACATAAGAGAACTGTATTAAAGGGTCGCGGCATTAGGTAGAATGAGAGTCGCTGATTTACCACTTTTGCGGTGTAGGCGGATGGTGTTTGAGCCTAATGCTTTAGGCTGCATGGCTGGTGCTGTCGTCATGACTTTGCATGACAGAATTTTATTTTCACTGAAAAAATAATTATGTGGGTGATGTGTTAATATCCTGCTAGCTTGCCTATCCTAGGATTTTTTATTGCCTAGTACTTACCACATGAGTTACAAGCAGTGAAGCAAAAACAGGTTTCAGATGATTGCTTCAAGGCAGCCTCTTGCAAAATCTTTCTAAATTATTCTTCTGTCTCTGATTCTCTTCATTTTTGTGTAGATATCAATATCTTTTGCTTTGCTAGCTGCTTTGAAAAGAAAATTCTGGTTGTACTGTTTCAATTTTTCCCCATCTCACTGTGTGTCCTATTTAACACTATTATCTTTCATTTTCTAGATTAGCTGCAATCTGTTTAGTTCACTCCATAATCTCCACCTTGGTAATTCTGTCGTACCATTTTCTGCAGACATGAGTTGATGAATGAATGTAGCTTATTAGTAATTGTTCCTTGTGTGGGTTCTGGGACCCCATTGTGGGGAAAACAAAAAAAGACCTGCTGCCTCCCCAACAAGCATGTCATAAGAGTCGACTGATTGGGGGCTTCCTTTGAAGTCGGAATGCATCTGCATAAGAGGCAAGAACCAAAAGTCTGCATACAGTTAAGTCAGATCTGTTAAATGGATGTGCACACAACGCTCAGGTTCTAGAACAAAACTTAAGTCCAGAGGTAGACAAATAACCCAATCTTTCTACCCGAGTTTACAGCTGATGAACACGAAGAAAATTAATTGTTTTAGTAATTCTTTATATTTCTTTGAAAAATAAGCAGTTCTAATTCAACATTATAGTTAAATATTCTAAATTTGGTACTAGGATTATTTTAATTTCATTACTTCCAGATCTCCTACAGTTATTGTTCCTTTTATATTCTCCTGTTTTAAATCTCTGCTTTTCTTTCCCAATTTTTAAACAGTGTTTCCTTAATGTCTATGTAAACAATATCTTAAACATATTTAACTCATGAACATCATCACACTGCAGAAACTGACGTTTTACTTTATATAAACATCATAGAATAAAGAAAAGTCATCTTTTATCTATATGTGAGTGATTTTGTGAGTTTCAAAGAAAGACAGAATACGAAATAACAAAATCAGACGAATGCTAGGGATAAAGCCAGTTTTACAGGTCATCAAAGAATAACAGTTGAAGTCGTTTGAATACCTAACAAGAATACCCTGGTACAGTCTACCACAGCGAGCCACAACGGGTATAGCGAGTTGAAGACCTAGGAAAAGATCAAGTGATGGCATTAAGAACAGCCTTACAGAAATGAACATCAGAGCTTATCAACAAACATTACGTCCTGCGTAATTAAACCCCCCCCCCCCCCCCCCCTCACCCCACATGCTGAGGTGGAAAAGAAGCAGAAGTAATGTTGCAAATAAAATAAGCCAGTCGGTAAATTATGTTATGTCCTTATTATTTAAATGTACTTGAATACTACAGATGCAAATAACAGATGACAATGTTTTATTTCTGGTGTTAATTTTAGGACAGAGATGCTAAATATCGGCTAATCTTGGTAGAATCAAGGATTCACAGACTTGCGCGATACTTCAAGACAAAGAAAGTGCTTGCTCCAACATGGAAATAGTGAGTATTTTACTATAGTATGTCAGTTTCACAATGACATCACCCTTAGGTTACTGCAGTCATTAGGGGATGCAAACAGTAATGATGCTGAACCTTACCAAACAAGTCATTAGTTAAGTTAGTTGCCTATCATATTCGGGATGTCATAAACCATTCACAGCATTTATAAGGTCTGTGTGTTTATACCAGGCAATTTTACATTAAGTAGTTTGCCCTCCATCTTCGTAGCAGTGTTGACCCAACACCTCTGATTTCAGCTAACCCTAATTGATTGCATTTTACAACATGTTTCATAGTAGACAGTGGGTCTGTTCTCAGCCACAGAATGAGGACATGGCGCTAATATTATGAGCACCTGCTAGCTGCAGGGAGTGCTTAATTGTTTACTGATTTTCCTTAGAAAAGTAGTCTGCTCTAAAGCCAGATGAAAAATAACCACATCAGCTATCTCCTGTCAAAATGACAGTCCCATTTTGCTTTTTTTTTTAATGAAGAGACCTATACCACCAACTTATATTTCTGTGCAGTTGAGATGTTTGAATCTGCTTACAGATATGATGTATTGCTATAATTGTTTGGGTAATGTTCTCTAATTTTCTCTTCCACAGTGAGTCTTCAACTGCATCTGCTCTTGTTGCCTAATTGTATTAGACTGTCTTGTATTATGATACATGATAATAAACTGTGTCAGATAAAGAGTTAAGGAAGTATTGTTTGTTGGATTTAGATCTGTAACTAAGTAAAAGACATATTTCACGCCTTTGGCGCATGACACATCAACGCCTGATGGGTAGTGAGATCAACATCGCACGTCGACGCTCGATGGGAGATATGATCAACATCACACTAACGACCCTTACTTCCTGTTACAATACCTTGTTCTCCTTGATTGGGTCTACGTAGGAGCCAAGGTCAACTGTGAAGAAAAAAATGAGTGTGGATCATAGACCTATGGTCTGGCAGATGAGCGTGATGTGCTGATGGTGCTTCATTTTATTTTCAATTTATTCTCCATATATGACTTCCTGAGAAAAACACTGAGTTATCAAAAGTATATAGAAAAAATATCAAATTTTCTATTCGATATAGAAAGTGTATTTTAAGAAAAGGAATAGACTCAAGAATTGGTGACAAATGACACAGTATATAGACAGCTGACAGGGAGAAGGGAGACAGATAAATACCTTGAAGGCTCGGTCACATATATGTGACATGACAAGAGCACAGGTGTAATCTGGGATACTGGTGATGAGCTGTGGCGATTCATTACTGGATCTTGATATCAGAGTAGGGGTGGGGCTGAGTTATTTGGAAAGGGGACCGTGGGCCAGATTAGTTTGGGAATCCCCTCGTGTGGGTTTCGGGGCCCCTCGTGTGGGTTTCGGGGCCCATTGTGTGGAAAACAAGAATAGACCCACTGCCTCCCCAGAAGCATGTCGTAAGAGTCGACTAATTAAGGAGCTTCCTTTGAAGTCAAAGTGCATCTGCCGTAGAGGCAAGAAACCAACAGGCTGTGTTCAAGAGAATGAGATCTATAAAACTGATGCACACGCAACACTCAGGTTCTGGAGCAGGACTGCAGTTCAGTAGTGGACGAGCAACCAGAACTTTCCACCAGAGTTTACAGCTGGTGAACGCGAAGAAGAAGTTTGGGAAGCACTGATCTACTCTAATCTGACATTTCAAGGAACATTCACACTTTACATTTTATGTAGCATGCTCTGGCTTAAAAGAAGCAAGTGCTCGTTAAGTGGCATTTTTTTTTCTTCTTTAGCATTCCGAGCCCTTGAGGTTCATTGCTGCAGGTATCACCCGCTTCGAAGCATTTCTCTGGTTGGCCTTCTCTTTCCAGTCTGTGATACCAAGTGCTTGCAGGTCTGATTGAATATTATCTATCCATTGTCTTCTTTGTCTGCCTTGTAGTCTACGACCAATTATCTTGTGTATACAATTTTTGACTTCTGTCAACTGACATTCTTTCAATATGCCCCAACCATTTCAGTCTATTAGCTCTTTTGATGCCAGTGATCAGTGGTGATTTAAACATAAATTTCATTGTTGCTGCTCACTCTCCATTCACCACTATTTACATCTTTGAAGAGTCCAAAGATTCGTCTAAAGGCGGTTTTGTTGTTGAAAATCTGCTTCACGTTCACCAGCTCTAAACTGAAGGAATGTTCTGGCTTATTTTTATGAAGGCTATTGGTTCCTCACCTCTTAGAAAAACTCCAAAGGAAACATCCCTAATTAGTCTACTCTTATTTGTACAAAGAAAACACACACAATAGATTGCAGTTACATACGTGAAGCAAATAAGAACAAACTTTGTATCAACAACAATCAGTGTAAGAATCATATCTTACTTCACTTATAAAGGATTCACTTTTTTGCTTCATTTATGTAACAGTTTCTTGACGAGACAGCGAAATACGCAAGGCAATAAATAGTGCAATTTATTGTTTGTGTCTGATCTTTCGATATGCTTCCTGTGAAATAGCTCCAGAACCCGAGGGGGAAGGGAGTTAAGGGATCTTTTAAAATAGTTGAGAGAAGATTTCTCTTTATATCTGTCTTCTGCGTGCTGATCCATCCACGGCTGATTTTCTTCTTTGCGTTTGGTTTCGTATGCTCAGATCAGACCATCAGGTGGGTTGCCTCTATGAACTCACATGTCAGAAGCAGGTCCTTTGTGGTTCCTCATAGTTTGCTCTGCACACTTTGCTCTTGAGCCCAGGTGTCTTTTCGAAGTTGTAGGTAGAGTAGGCAGGTGTGTAGAGGTGTTTGACAGGCACACTGGGGACTACAATCTTTTATTTTATGCATGTGGTAGCTGAACCTGTAGTGTCCTGTTCGTAGACGGAAAATTGTTGAGTCTGCTGATGGGGTCCTGTGGATGTTTACTGTTGGTTTGTTCTCTCCACAATTCCTTGTATTTTTACTTAAGTGTAATGATTTCTGGTAATGACAATAAATGGGCGTATTGTTTCTCCTTTATTCCATTTTTAGCAGATCTGACTGCTAACTCATTTCCTGGTTTGCCGCAGTGAGCCAGATTTGTATGTCCTTTTTTTCCTCAGCATGATTTGTTTACAGAACCAACAAGATGTGGAATTATTTACTTCAGTTATAAACTGCGCCCTTCGACATCTGCTAAAGTCAAAGTGTGTGTGTCGCAACTATAAGATAAAAAAATATATAAAATGTTAAGACAGGTCGTTTTATCTGGCTCTGTAACTTGGAGCACAACTAGAAGAGATGAAGCCTTATTACAGTTTTTTTTTTAGTCTTACTAGAATCTTTGGACCCATCAAAGATGCAACAGCGCAGAATGGAGAGTGAGAATAAACAACAAAATTCATAATCTGTTTAAATCACCATTGATAACTGGCATCATGAGAGCTTACAGACTGAAATGGCTTGGGCATACTGACAGGAGCAGCAGCCTTTTCACAGGGGCGCTGCAAAATATTCAAAGACACATTTGTTTTTTAAATCTCTTGCATACGAAGTCTTACTTAGGTTAGGGCGACATGGAAACATTAAAAAAAAAAAGGCGCTGCGGCTAAGAACAGTTTGGGAAACGCTGTCTTAATACGTATCAGGCTTATAGGGCTAGACCTATATTTTATAGAACAATCCGCACTCGGTGGGTGATGTGGTCGTCACGCCAGCCACATTTACTTACCGGAACTATACCTGGTACCCACTCAAAGCTGGGTCACCCTAGGAACCAGGGTCAATTAAAAAAAAAATTGCCACTTAGTAAGGATCTCAGACCCCCAACTTTTCGATTCGCAGGTAAGCGTATCTAGCCGCTACACAGTGATGGCTAACATTGGGCACAGGGTGCTCGACCTGTATTTTTCGAACAATCAGCACTCGATGCGTGATGTAGTCAACACTACACCGGTCACTTTTACTTGATAGATCCAGTCATTATCATGTGCGTGCCAACAGGGGTGGGTGCTCATGCGTCTCCACAGATCACGATCCCTGGTTGCCTGGAACAGCTCTTTTGGGGGTATCCCTCCATGCTATCGTTTCAGCCTATCCAGGGTCGCCTCTCTGGGTCTGCCTCTGCCCTTTTTTCCACTGATCTTTCCAGTTGCCACGATGTTCTCCAGGGTATCTCTTTCTTATTGTTATTATAGAGATCTTTTCTCAAGCAATCGTTAGTTGCTCTGGCGGTCCAAGGTATTCGTAATGCGATCCAGTCACCTACATTAAATTGACTAAACTCTAAGCAGCAGTTATTGCTTTAACTAATAAACCTTTTTATAATACTGTATCAAATAAAACATTTGCTACCCCATTCCCCCACTAGCTGGTCTAGGAGAAAGATATGTTTCATGTTTTCCAAGTCGCCTGTTTAAACAGGTGGAGGCAGTGCTGTTTTCCCTAAAGAAAAGAAGTGCTGGTAGCCATCGTAAAGTGTCTGTTAAATAGCGCTGACAAAACAAAATAATTGTCTGAAAACATTGTGGCGGGACGTTGCGAACTACTGGAAAAAAATACTCTTGAATTCATGGACACTGCTGTAAAGAAGAAAAAACCTGTTTTAAATATGCTATTTTTGATTTACTGACCTCATAGAGTTGCAAAAAGGAAATGGATGACAAATGACATTCTACAGATGATGGATGACAGAAAAGGAATAATATTCTAGCATACATAAACAAATAGTGCACAAATGCAATGAGGCTAAAGAAACATGGCTGAATCAGATGTGCACAGAGATTGGAAAAATTAGACGAAAGACTCAACATTCCACGCATATAAACGGGGAAGAAAAGATGTAACGTCAGTGGATGTTTAAAATCTAAAAAGGTGAAACATTAATGGGGCAAACTGACATTATTAGAAGATGGACTTGGGGATCTGTATGATGATAATAGACTAGAAGTATATTTGCAGGACAAGAGTGAAGACCCACCAATACTGGCTTCAGAAGTTGAGAATGCATTGCATCACATGGAGAAAGGAGAGGCACCCGGGCCAGAACATCACACTGGAAGAAAGTGAAGCTTTGGGATATTTTGGAATTGAAATAATAACAAAATTGTTAAATGACATCTATAATAGTAGGTACATTCCTATTGACCTATTAAAATCTATATTTATTGCTTTGGCAAAGTAATCAGGCACTTTGAAATATGAAGACTAATAAAGAATGTTGAATTAAGAATCGACAAAACAGCACTCGGGACACTTCCATAAGCGCTCCGTCCCCATCTTCAGCAGCAAGCAAAGAGTTAAAATTCCGATGGTACCAGTCTGTATATCCGTCTCGAGCGTCGGCCAGATCCCATTGTAACTCCTCGCAGTGCCATTCTCCTCAGACAGTAATGGTCTATCTGTTCCTCGCTCCCAAAGGGCCCTCACAACATCCAGCTTTTTCATATATCAGTTCACCACCAAGTGGTGCAGAACCGACCAGTCTATCCGTCCTGCTCATTTCCCAACACACCGGCGTGACCTGGAGAAAATATCGTAAGGATGCCAACTACCCGGGACCTCTGAAGTGATGCTTGCCACTCTGTACAGAGCATGCCTGTCTCCACCTTTCTCAGCATGCTCTGTGAGTCAGTTACAATAACGACACGTGTGTACATCTGATTCTCAAGCCAACGGAAGGCAGCAGC